AAGCAACGTCGGGCGTAGTTAGTACTTATATGGGAGACCGCTTGGGAACACTGCGTGCTGTTGGCTTCTCATTTTGCTCAAAACGTTTCTGTCACGAGGCTATTGATTTGTTTTCGTATTTTTATTTTGCAGTTCTTTTGAAAATCGCTTGACTGGTAGGGCTCAAAATGTTTCTGTCACGAAGCGATTTATATTTCGTATTTTTTCCTCTTCTGCTCTTTCTTTCATAGGGTAACCCGTTAAGGATTGAATACGCAGCGCAACAAACAAGAATAACAAAAATTTCTCCGGAGCGAGACAATACGACCCTTACGAATTTTGAGGCGCTGAATCCGAATATAACCTCGCGCCGTTTCAGTCAATCACCCTCCAATTTTCGGGAAAATTGGCTTTTTCGGTGTTTTTGCGACTGTTATACCCCCTGCTGAATGTTGGGGAATTTTTTTCTCAGGTACAAGAAAGGACTGGTTCGATGTATTTTGAGCCGCATAGTCCGAAAATTACCTTTATTTCTCTTATCGCCTCTCAGTTTTCCATAGAGAAGCGACTTATCCTAGAAAAATGAGCAAATATGACATATTTTAGTCATCAATGCAATTCATTTTTATAAATTTTCCTAGGCCCGTGGTAGAGTGATTCTCATGAATTTTCATTTCCCAGACTGAAAGTGCATTGGAAAATTTCGAAAATTCCTTAGGAAAGGAATATCGTCGCAAAAATACAAAAAAAGCTAGTTATCCGTGAAAATTCAAGATTATAATCGGATTAGACAGTTCAAAGTAAACGGTGGTCGATGAAGGCATCACACACAGGGCCGGATTTAGGGGGTGGCGAAATGGGTGCGACCCATCGCGGCAAATTTTGCAATTTTTTAAATGTAGCTATAAAGAAGAATCGGAATCAGAGAAAAAAAAAAAAAAATACAGACGAGTAAAGATGACAAAATCTCTCATTTCCCGAGAGTATATCTTTAATTTTGTCGTCTTTCTGTGATACAATAGACAGCACCTTTAATTAGTCGAATTAAGACTGAGAGAGAAACCGAACACCGAATTTGGCCTGGAACGGCGCGGCGCAGAGAGCAATGATGACGAGAACTTGAGATGAAAAGGAGAAACCCTCGGCGCGGCGGTCGGCATGTAGCACATATTAGCGCCTTCGAAACTGCATGAATACTTCTCGCATTGCGCCAAAGACAGTTCGCTCGCTGCGGTCAGCAGCGGGCGGCGTGAGACGCAAGGCGCCTACAAGACTACATGAATACTACACGCATTGCGCTCAACACAGTGTGGTCAGCAAGCCGCACGGCGGCGGATGTTAAACTTATTAAACCACATTTATTGTTTGTTCTTTCATAATTTTTTCGTTCATTTTTTATGAATGGAAGGCCTTGTTCACACAGAGATAGGTTTACGGCACTTAACTTTCGCGCTGGGTTCCGTGAACTTTTGCTTTTAGTGTTGATAGGGCTTTCGCAAAAAAATGTGTCCACTACGAGTAAACGCGTCTATGCAACCTTTTCCCTCCGGCACGTTCACTTGATGGTCTTTTTTGATGTTTCAAAACGCATGAGAAGGGGGCGGCAAAATTCAGGCGGCAAGTAAGTAAATCCGGCCATGATCACACATCGGGGACACTTCTTTTAAACTGTATTTTTAATACACTTTCAGCCTTGGAAATGAAAATTCATGAGAATCGCTCTACCACGGGCCTGGGAAAATTTATAAAAATGAATTGCATGGATGTCGCGAAAATATGTCATATTTGCTCATTTTCCTAGGATAAGTCGCTTCTCTGGAAAACTGAGAGGCGATAAGAAAAATAAAGGTGATTTTCGGACTCGGCGGCTCACAATACATCGAACCAGTCCTTTCTAGTACCTGAGAAAAAATTCCCCTACATTCAGCAGGGGATAACAGTCGCAAAAACACCAAAAAAGCCAATTTTCCCGAAAACTGGAGGGTGACAGACTGAAACGGCGCGAGGGTATATTCGGATTCAGCGCCTCAAAATTCGTAAGGGTCGTCTTGTCTCGTTCCGGAGACATTTTTGTTATTCTTGTTTGTTGCACTGCGTATTCAATCCTTATCGGGTTACCCTATGAAAGAAAGAGCAGAAGAGGAAAAAATACGAAATATAAATCGCTTCGTGACAGAAACGTTTTGAGTCCTACCAGTCAAGCGATTTTCAAAAGAATTGTTTAACTGCAAAATAAAAATATGAAAACAAATCAATAGCCTCGTGACAGAAACGTTTTGAGCAAAAAGAGGAGCCAACAGCACGCAGTGTTCCCAAGCGGTCTCCCATCTAAGTACTAACTACGCCCGACGTTGCTTAACTTCGGTGATCGGACGAGAACCGGTGCTTTCAACGTGGTATGGCCGTTGGCGAAAGACGAAACCGTTGGAACCGCATATCCGCCCATCATTCTACCTCATTTCTCGTCATGCCCATATGATTGGCAGGGAGGGGGGGGGGGNGGTTGGAGTGAAAAACACTTTTTTCGGAAATCGCTTGACGCGTAGGGCTCAAAACGTGCTACATGCAAAATAAACAGGAAGCATCAAATACTTTTTTCTGAAATGATGGTTTCCGAAAGTGTTATTCTATAAATTTGAACGATTTGCAGGATTTCCTAGGGACCTTAAAACATCTCTAAAAAAACCCATATTTTTCGTGTTTTTTTTCAGTGCTTTTGGAAAATTATCGTAATTTGGAGGGATTGACAATTTTCTTTAGTGCTCTAATGGTCATAAACAGACTCAGCGCATCTGGTTTACCCATAAACAGTTAAGTTTAGGTGATAAGGTGTTACGATTGATTTGAGAGCTATTCTCCGTCAAAAATGAGAAGTTTTCATAAACCTGGTAACTTAAGGCCCTGGATAGACGATCAAATTCCGAAGCAATTCCGATCAAAGTAGACATGCTGATGACTGATGGTCACCATCTACCATCAAATTTTGACGGGCCGCACTTATTTGTTCGAAGTAAGATCAGAATGGAGTGCCACCATTCATCGTTTCCTGTGGAGGAAACATTTCTGCCAAGCTTTCATTTTAAAATGAAGCAAATTAATGAGTTTAAGACTGATGACTCCCGACACTTTGATGCTACTTTGATCGGAATTTGTTCGGGAATTTGATCGTCTATCCAGGGCTCATAGAATGTTTTTCAAAATACGAGTATGTTCTCCTTGCTTCCTTTTCCCTCATCAATCAAAGCCTTAATTCAACGAGAATTTAGCATTCTCAATGCTTCGTCGTGAGGCTTTGATAATTTCATACCAACACTGAGACAGCCCACACTGTGTGTGCGAGGTGCCAGCATTGTTTGAACGTACAAATCTCCTTCGAAAACGGAGGCAGGCAAAAAAGCATACACTGTGTTTGCGAAGCACGAACATTCTTCTAGCGGACAAATCTCCTTCAAAAAGGGAGGCAGGCAAAAAAGCATACATTGTGGGTGCAAACATTCTTCGAGCGGACAAATCTCCTTCAAAAACGAAAGTAGGCAAGAAAGCATGAACGTAACAGTGAGGTATCAGAAGCAGTGTGGATTTTTGAAGTTTTCATTATTCGATTCTTCATTTATTAAAAACAACCGCCTCTAGATGAAACACATGGTTTCATTGATGAATACCAATTTTTGTGCATACCTCCAACATTCATGTGGACGAAATTCATCGTTGCCTAATTGCAAGATACCGCCAGCGCTCGAAAGGGTTGTAAGGGACGGAAAGTTACAAGCCCACCCGGGTGGGGCCTGGATAATAGGGGGCGCCTTTGTTGCCAAACTGATATAGTGCTAAAAAATCAGTCTTTTTTACATTGAGTCTAATGGAAATTCTGCGACATCTGGCAACTGTGAGGTAGTCGGAGAAATGAAAAGAAAAGGCAAAAGATAAAAAATTGGCACGTTCCGGACATATAGAGCGGTTAACGACAGATCGATATTTATCGTGCCCTATTACTTCAACTCGGTTTGATTTCTTTTACAACCTAAATAACATTATCATCTCGGTAAATTATGGGACTCACCCCTCGATTTTATCGCACCTTGGCTACGTACAGACCCACTTGCCCCCTCCATCCCCCTCCCTCCTGAAGGGCTGAACAATACTGTCGCGTTAAGGAAGAACAACGTATGAGCCTTCAAACGTTGTCCAATCTCTATGATAATTCACAATTTTTCGTGAATATTTGTAAATATTTTTCATCCGTTTTTTCCAGAGAATTTTGTTCGTAATTTTATCTCCAGTGTAAGAATATTTCAAGGAATCATATTCATAACTTTCTTCAACATAAATATTACATAAATATTTTCGGAGAGAAAATATGACAACTTTGAGTGCTCATGCGGCGTTTTTCCTAAGCACGGTAGAACACCGGACCGCAAATAGAAGCTACGCATAGCACTGCCGTGATAAGGAAAAACGTCGTATAAACATCCGAGAGTTGCCAAATTTTCCTCGTTGGAATGTTTCTTTTTAAGGAAAGTCATGAATTTTTTTCCAATAAATTTTCAAGAACTTTAGGTAAAATCGCGAACAAAATTATCTGAAAAATTGGAGAAAAATATTACAAATTTTCCCGGAAATTCGTGATTTACCGAAGGAAATTTGGCAACGCCTAAAGGTTCATACGGTGTTCTTAGCACGACAGAGTAGGTAGGGTAATCAAACCTTATGCAGTTGCGAAATTACCCCAAAAAATTACTCGAGAAAACTTGAGTGTCCCCCCCCCCCAAATTTCCCGGACTCTTTTTGGAGTTGAGGAGGTTCCTCGAAAACCACCTTTGAAGCTGATGGAGTCCTTTAGATTCCCCCGGTGGGGTGTCTCTCTGTGCCCATGAGACCCTCCTTGATGAAATTCCCTCCTACTGCCCCCCTTCCCTGTAAAAAGTTGCATGTTTTTGTTACATGTTACCAACCAATGCTGCAAGCTGTTGGTATTCTTCTCTAAACACTAAATAATCATCCTCATTTTTTTTCTGTTTCAGGTTCAGATCATGCTTGAAGATGGCTGACACGGGTATTTCGAGTCTGGTCGGTCAGCTGTTTTTCAATGTCGTCCAAAAGAGGTGTTTCGTGCTGAAAAAAGAAAAGGTTTGCGTCAAGCGAACCTGGTGGGGAAAATGCAGTCGTGTCGAGTACGTGAACCAAGCCATCGTTCGAAATAACTCCGTATTCTGAAAAGCCAAAAAGACGTTCTTCCTTACGAAATATTAATTTTATTAATTTATTGTATTTATTTTGTTAATAAATTCGCCCAAAGAGAGTGATTGTATATATTTTACTGCTAGATACCTGGTATCTATTGAAATATATGTATATGAAAACGTCTTCGTTTTGTATCATGTTCAGCTAATTGATCAAAATCGGAAAAATGCAAAAATGATTTTTTCCCCTTTTTTCCCTGAAATTAAAGAGAATTTATTGGATAGTTAAAACTGTTAATGGTTTGAGAAAAAATTTAGGCATCCCGCCAATGAGTGTCGTACAGAAAACGTGATGATTCAATTTTTTTAATCCAATCGATTTTTTTGCATTGTGCTTTCTTCTGAGCATCTCTGTGTGTCACCTGCATACCAAACACATACTCACTTCCATTCAGCAAAAATTAATTACCTCTGTCAAAAGTATTCACCTGAAAGTGTTATTTTGTCGTGTGTAAGAATAACACACAAATAAAACCCGAACATTTTAGAAAAAAGATAAATAAAGAGAATTGGTACCAACACAATTACCTAAAGCAAAAACCACACATCAAGACCCATGGGACTTCTCAGGGTGGTTTCAATCCCTTTGTCAACCAGGCAACAGAAAAGCGAAAATATTAAAATTAAATTAAAATAAGTTTTGGATATTTTGTTTTTTTTTTGTTTTTTTTTGTTTTTTTTGTTTTTTTTTTTTATTATTTAATTATCTGTTACTTATTGCTGACAGGATTGAAACTTCCTTGAGACATGATTGGCATTTTAGCGTGTATAATCAACTTTCGTCAGCGTTTGTTTTCATATGTATATTTGTCAACATAAGTTCTTAGTTATTAATTTCCAGAATCATAGTGGCATGTGCAATGTTAAATAATTATGTGATGTGACTTTCTGTACATAATTATTCCTTGTAAATACCAGTACCTAGATGTGGCATGTAGTACTGATTTTTTTTATTTGCGGGGCTAAGTACCTGCAGTTGTATATTTATAAGATGAGTGTTTATACGCGGTCGTTGAAGTGGAATACATTTTGCAATAAGGAAGCACTATCTCTGGCTGTCCCATAAAAGCACGTATAAGTATAGGGAAACCAATTGCATGTATGTTGTTTCTAAAATGGGCCAGAAATATAGTGGTTCCTTATTGCAAAATTTAATCCAAGTATGCCTGGCTATTGGTGGAACTATGACCTTTTCGGGGAGGGGGGGGGG